AAATTCGAATTTTTGACGCATCAGATTTTGCGTATGTCGTCAGGAATGAAGCCGGCATATAGCAGTCGTCGTATTCATTCGGTAAACTGCGAGTCGACGTTTCGTCCGACACCCCAGCGGATACCCCGCGGGTACCAACGGACGGAAGAACGGACCACGTGTCGGAAAGCAATAATTTCGAGTGGTTTATGAAATGGCCCGGACGTTGTGGAGGTAGTGCGGATCGTATTTTACTTGTGCAAACTGCCAATCTGTTCAAAGAAACAGCCTCAAAATTCCACGCAAATGGATGGCCCAGTCGAACTTTTGAACTGCGCGAAGTGCTTTTGAATGACTTTCGGAAGATCCTCAACACGTGGTCGTTCCCTTTTGCCTGCTGTTCGTCATCCGGTGTTAACAAAGGCAGCCAAGACGGCTTGGTCCGAATAAAACTGCGACGCTGCGCATCGGTGTATTTGCTCACAAAGATTGCGAGCGCGCGTGCTGAAAACATTTTTTATACATTTGATTTAACTAATCGATTCTGTCAACGGCTGGATGTTTCTCTGGTAAACATGTATTGACATCGTCAATGCAAATTTTGATTCCATTTCGATTCACCCTATGTCGTACATGGCACATGGCTCTGTGTCCCCCCCCCCCCCCGGCCTCCCCGCTTACGCTCATGATTTCAAACAAAATCAACGGTTAGCAAATGTGCCGGTTAGTAAATGCTTAATTCGCATTTGCCGCAGAGTAGTCTAGAATGATATTTTCTCAACTATCTTTTATGATTATTAACTGACCCATTAGAATAACCGTGGCGAGTGTGCACAGCGTAGCACAGCCGTACATTGCTCTTAATTTCGATGCACTCCATGTTTTCCGATGCCTCACAATACGCACTGGAGCGTGAAAGCCTGCATCAGTATGATCTGGACCAAGTCAATTTGCCCATTGTCTTCATATTTCATCGTGTCTAACCTGATCGCCTCATATGTACGTGGGCAAATTGACCAAAATGCGTTCGTTTCAGCGTGGCCTGACTAAAGGCTTCTGCATTTATGTATTCTTCAAATGAGCGTATATATGCATGCAACATGTGTTGCGTACGTGTACGTGTGTGCGCGTGTGATCACTTGTGTAAGACGGCGAAAAATATAGATGCATGTTGAAATGTAAGGTGGTCGGTCAAATGCGACACGCCAGCTTAGCTGTGAGGCGTTTGATTGAGCTGCGAGATGGCAAAGAATGTGTGGGCAAATACGGAACAAACACGATGTTTGCGTTGATGGCACGCATTTTGCACGTTGATGGCGTGAATAGCATGCGCTTCAGAAGTCCCAGCGGCTTAGTGTCCTGCACGGCTGTGTGAGAGCAGCGCCGATGGAAATTTGGATACAGCTTAACATTCATTCGAGAGGTAGCAGCGGAATTTTGGGCACGGGTCGTACGTCACGCGTGAAGACTATCGAACGATAGCTATGGTGCACCTGTGACTTTCTCGAACATGTTTGCATATTTGATCATTTTGTCCTTACCTTTCAGCCGCTGAGCATGTCACCGGAGTGAAATGAACTTAACACGCTGCGATATCCGTTCTCAGCCATTACAATTGCAATGGGTCAGTGGGAACGAAAGCTATGCGTTGTTCACCAAACACTGAAATCCTCGCTTCCCACAACAACCTGTGCCCGCTTTCCCCTGGTCGGACATCTGTATTTTCACAGCTAGACGGTTCCACTGAACGGCAGCTTGTCAGAGCCATCACGGCTCTGACGGCTCCTGGAAAACCACAAAACCAATCTAACCTTTCGCTCCTGTTGCCAACGCCGCAACCCTTCGCAAAGTCCTACAATACTCCAGCCGCTCACCCACGAAACCACATTAGCTGGGTTCCACGTGGGCCTTTTATACGGCTCGGCTGTAAACACACCACGCCCCGCACGGGTTCGAACCCCATTGAATGCGGAAATGTCCCACAAGGTATGATTGTTTAAAACCCCTCTCGGAAGTCGATTTTCTCTCCAACGTATCCACTGTCAAGCGGACATGTCCCACCGTATATGGGATATCCCCACGTTTCCTCAAAAGGTGGGGACTATAATTCCTCTCCTACTGTTTGCGCATCGGAGGGATTACGAGGACGCGTACGATGGGCAGGAGGGAACAACACCCTTCGCCCGCCCGGACCGTTCGAGCCAACTGCCCGCAAGTGGCCACCACGGCGGCGCACCCAGCACCGGGCTCCGCTTAACTCACGTCATCGTCGCTGGGTGCAGGTGTCGGCCTGTTCTATCGGCTGCATCTCGGGCCGGCGCTCGGCTCACGCGCCGCCGCCATCGTCACGCGCTGGGCACCGCTGCTACGTCAGCCGCGGCGTCGGCTCCGACGGCCTCCCACCGCCGGCGATCGACGCGGCACGGGCGCCGCTGCCGCCGGCGCCGACGCGCGGATGGCGCAGAAGCGTTGCCATGGCGACATCCCCACCGTGTCTGATGCCGTCGGTCGCCGGACGACAGAGGCGGATGCAAGACCGTATTCAGGAGGAGTACGGCACGGTACGACGCGGCACACCGAGGCAGAGACGCTGGACCACGGACAGAGGACGCCGGAAAAGTGAGGTCTGATTCGAGCGGGAGCAAAACAGTCCGAGCCTCCTCCGCACATCCTGCCGAGCGCCGCCAGTCCCGCCGACTGGGCCCGACACTGGCCGACTGTGGCAGTGGCCGTGACCGCAATCACGGCCCCCTGGCAATGACAGTCTGCGTCCGAGCGCGCCGGCCCAAGATCGAAGCGGGGCTCGGCCGAGGTCGGTCAGGTCGGCACCCCCGTTCAAGGTCATCCACGCCTGTGTGCTGGCGATGCTGCGCCGCCGGGCACTTTGCGATTAAAAACAACTCAGTCCAGTCCTTGCCCGAAGACGGACGAACACCAGAAAGTCATGGGGAGGGGCCCGACCTCAGGGCCCCTAGCAAGGACTTTCATTGGAAAGGAGGATCCCTCTGGGGAGAGCCTGCTCAGATCCTCGCTACGCCCTTGTCTTTTATTGGGTCCGCTAGCGAGTCTTACGAGCGTTGCATGCTCTCCGTGATGTCCATAGGATCCCGTTGGCTGAGAAAGGGACGCAGGTTCTGGTGACCGAGTAAGACGCTGCTTGGAAAAGCTCGGTTAGTAATAGCATGGCTTGTGGTGTAGTTAACACGCTAACCCTTTTCAGTTTTCATACTTTGCCAAGAACGCGGAAATTGCGAAATCGTTCTTGAACTTCAGACACAAAGCGCTGTTGTTTCGTCACACTTACGCATCATCAAAACAGCATTCATGCTCTCTATGATGCACGAAGACTCCAGTGCTCAAAAATACCTCTGCAAGTTATGAGCCTTTTACGGTTGTTCTTGCTGGTCCTATGAAATAACTGTTACAGCGTAAGGAGGCCTTGAACGGCCAGGACGGGCGACTCCGCTTGCCACACTTCATATATCGACGTACAGCCTGAGTACTCCGACATCACCAGGCATGCGGCCAGCCCCTCCTGCGTGCGCTGTTGTACCGCTTACGCACGGCGCTTACCAGACGGCACGACAGTTGTGCCTGGCAACACGAGACGGCACGACAACCGTTCCTGGCAACACCAGACGGCACGACAGTAGCGCCTGACAACCCCAGACGGCACGACAGCC